TGCAGAACCAGGCCAAAGCTTTTACCTTTTTTCAGTGATCGTCAACTGCTCCTTGTGTTCAACAGATAAAGAAATCAATGTCTCATCCCATTAAATTGTGAAAACTGGATTAGTCTTTTGACCTTTCTCACTCGTTCCCATTCCCTTGTCATCCAACACCAACTCCCGGCTCCCTCTGCAACTCATTCACAGCCATTTTAAATGTTTTTACACGTCTTGGCTGCTTTTTGCCAAATGATCGTTGGATGTATCACACCTCTCACATTTGGTCATATTCTGTTCGTGTCGGCTGTTGGACTCTGGCTCTGTCTTTCTCCCTCTTTCAGCTGCCTTGCAGGGGGAGCAGCTGCTGTGTGACCATTATGTGGTAATTTTCTGTTTTCTCAGGTCTTTGATTGTTTCACCTGATACCTCAGGTAATCCTGTTTTTGTTGCTTCATGCCTCTTATGTTTGGATTTAATCTTGTTCTTTGATCAGATGGAAGCCTCCTGTTCCTGTGACCCTGTCTGGATTTGGTTTAATAGTTTTTTATTTCTATTTTTCATGTTCTTTTGTGATTATTTCCCCGAAAATAGACTTTTAATGTTTCATTTAATGACTAAATAACTCTTTTAAAGATGCTGGACATATTTTGTGGGAGTTGATTTTGGTGAGGCAGGACTTTGTTTCAGTAGGATTTAGGGCCACTGCAGTGTACTTACAAGTATTGATGGTAATCACCTTTAAAAAAATGAAATGGTTTTGTGCAAAAAGTAGGCATACAGTGAAACTGTGACTTGATTATATAGGTCTTCTATGCTGTCTGCCACATGTCTTTCAAGGAGAATAGATGACAAAGAAATTGCAAGCTCCTCAAAGCAGCCCTCCATGAGATGACTTAGTACTTTTAAAACTTAAAACAAAGTCTTATTGTGAATCCCAGAACAAAGTAGATGCAGGTCCATCTTCAGATTACCAATCAGTTAAACATTTTTACTTTCTAGCCATTTTTTGCAGTGTTTTCTTTCAGCTTTGAAACTTACGATCTACCAGCAGAACTACTGCACTTTAAATAATAGCATAATTTAACCATGCAGGAACTGGAGTGACCTAAACATGGCAAAACTATTAAAACTAGAGAAATTGCATTTCCTTGCAGAAATGCGTGGAAATGCTGAGTGCTGAAAAAGCAATGCATAACTCCTAAAAAAAGCAGGAAGCTATAATTATAAAAACTGTTGAAGGGGTGAAGAGGAAGAAGTACAAGTTGAATTAATGTGAAAATTGTTGAAATACAAAAAGTATGAATATGCCACCTAAAACGAATTTGCATTCATGCTGAAAGAGGCTGGGGAAAAAATATGAAATTGCACAAAATTTGTATGAAGAAGAAAATTATCTTAAAACACAGGTAAGTGAGAAGTGGCATAAGTTTTAGTTGTTGTACAAGTAGTAGTATGATAAGTAGTTATAGTAGTGATATAAAAAGTGATATTAATAGTAGAGGAAGTCTCAGAATAGAAGAAGTTGAAGTCAAAGTAGTGGAGCTAGTGGTAGAAGTAATAATAGTAGTGAATAAAGTATAAATAGTAGCAGTAGTAGCTAAGTAGAAGTGAAAGTACTAGTTAAAGTGATATTAGTAGTAGTTAAAGTAGTAGAAGTGAGATTTTGTTTGAAGTATTGAATAATGCAAGAATAGTGAGAATGAATAAAAAAATTGGGAAAATTTAAATTTAAAGTATTAGAAAGGTTTGAAGTATCAGATAGGTTTGAATCAGTTTGAATGGGTTTTAATTTGTGAGAAGAATTGAATAATGCATAAATAATGAGAATGATTTTAAAGTTGGGAAAATTTAAATGAATAAAAATCCTGAATACACCCCATAATGCCCTCAATGAGTTAAAGTTTTGAAGCCCTGAATGGCTTCTGTAGCTCAAAGTTTGTGGGAGATAGGTGAAGATAGGTGGCGAAGCAGACACATGGTCAAAATGTGTGCATGTAGGTCTCATAGAAATAGAAAGACTCACGCACACACATATTTGCTCTGTGTACATGCAGGTGTCATAGATAGAAAGAAACTAACGCACACACATTGTCAGTGTGTGTGTGTGTGTGTGTGTGTGTGCGCATGTGCATTAGTGTCCCTTGAATCAATGCATTCTAAACAGCTGTTAGAGATCAAGGGACAAACTGACCATCTTTTTGAATGAGAAGCTGCCGAACAGCAGTGAATTTAAAGCCTCTGAACTTATTCACATAGCACAATTTCCTTAAATCATCCCAGGATGAAAATAAGAAGATCATAGGAATCCTGAGAACCCCAGGAACACAATGATGTGTTTTTCATGTCTGTACCATAGACTGTATATAAGATAGACAGAGTCTGCCTCCTCGCTGGGTGAAGCCACTCCGAGAACAGCACCCTCTGATGGTGGGCTGCAGTACAGGTCATAAATCCCGCCTCCGCCAGCAAAGCTTATGGGACTGTGGACAAACTTTAGAAATTTATTACACAGAACAGAATTTTTTCTCCCCCCTGGTTGTGATGTTGACATGTAGTTACAGTAAGACTGGTTTGTGCCCAAGTCCTTTTTTTTCTGTACAGCTCCGTTTTTAAAAGTTATTAGGGGGTTCATGTTTTCTATGATTGACACCTGGTACAGCCTATGGGTGTTCAGGGATTGCGTAGCTCAACCGGGGGGATACGCTGTTTGAGCCGAGCATTATCACAGGGACTCTCGGCGACTGCGCGGCCGAATGCGCGCATCACTACTGCGCAGCTCTGGTTTCAAGGAAGTGGAGAAAAACCCGGAATTACCGAGAGCTATTTGGCTTCAAATCCGTATACAGGCGGAAGGCGAAACCAGGTTGTCCATCTTATATACTGTCTATGGTCTGTACTCTAAAAAATGTGGCCACATCAGCAAGTTAAACAGTGTTGACCCTGAGTGATGATCACAATTTTCTTGCCAATGTGGAGACTCTTATCCATGCTTTTATTACCTGCAGAATTGATTATTGTAATGCTCTCTTCTCTGGTCTTCCTAAAAAGAACTAAAAATTTCACAGCTTCAGCTGCTGCAAAATTCAGCTGCACGTATGCTGACAAAGACCAGGAGGAGAGCCCACAGTCTGCCTGAAGACCTGAGAGCAGCACCTACAGTTCATATTTTTCAACGCAAACTCAAGACCTTCCTTTTTAGTCTGGCCATTAGCTGATTTTTGTTTTATTCTTCTAGCCTCTCTTTTAGTCTACTCTTTTTAGTATTTTAAGTATCTTTTATTTTAAATTTTTAGTATACTTTAACACTATTTGATTGTTTTCTTTTATTGTTTGATTTTAAAACAGTTTTACTTTATTTTATTACTATTATTATTATTATTATCGTCATTATTATCATCATTGTTTTATTTCCTTCTATTTTTTTATATCTTGTCATGGTTTTATCAGTTTAGCTTCAGCTCCAGTGTTTCCCCATTTTAGTTTAAGATAGCGCTTTCTAGGTCCTCTGTGGCTTCCTGTTGAGCCCTGACTTGGTGTCCCGATGGTCGTGAGAGAGTGTGTGTGTGTGTGTGTGTGTGTGTGTGTGTATGTGTATGTGTGGATGGATGGGGGGTGGGGGGGAATCTCTGTTAAATTCGGGCTTGGGGTGTGGGTGGGTGGGTTTTTTTTGCAGTTTGTTATCTATTTTTTTTATTTCTTATTTTGTATCCCCTGTGTACAGCACTTAGTGATACAAACCATGTATGAAAAGTGCTTTATAAATAAAGTGATTGATTGATTGATTGATATAGGGTCCTAGCCATAGTACCAGCCACCAAACATCGTTGTAACTTTGCCTAATTTCTTTAGCAAAGAGATTAGTTTGTAGCAAGACCTCGGGCCAGTCCATTACAGACTGCTGCGGGGTGACGCAGCTCAAGGAAGAACATTTATGATAATTTCTTAATCATTTCCTTGAAGTCATAATCACCATATTCTTACTCGGTGTTCCGGTGTGTTTGACCCTGAATTAATTTTACGCTGGAATATCCCTATAAACTAATACAAAGATATGAACTATGAAATTATTAGCACCATGATCATTACTATATGTAGCATACCCTCCGACAGATTGGTGGACTCGACTGATGATTTCTTGAAACTGTCTTTATTTTTATAAACCGCTCCATAAATCAGCTCCATGAAATTCACCGTGAGAACTAACAAAACACAAAAAATGAAATTACATTTCTGTTTACACAATGCACCATTACCTAATAGCTTCACCGAAGGTGAGAGAAAATTGGCTTAGCTTTAGCACAGTAACGTAATGTAAACCATAACATACACACTCTCTAACTAACCTTGTGCCTCCGCGGGGGGTAGCTATACCTTCTTCGTTGCTTCACTCTTTAGTTAACGTAGATTTATTACTTTATTTTCCTTTACCTTAAACTCTTTTACTTTCACCGTTACCTTAGCTCATTCATACCGTGACCGTCCTTTTGTTTCCTTTTACCCGCACAAAACAGCAAGGAGGAAGTGACACATTGGTTAGCAATCTCTTCAAAATAAAAGCTCACAATAACATAAGCTCCAAAATGAGCAATATACATATAAAACACATAAATTACATTTTCTTATAACAAACTCAAATCATGAACTATAATTTTATACTCTCGAATCATGTAAAAATGCATTGAAAGTAGCTTAACTGTTTGTTTTTAAGATTTTAACTTATTTAACTATTTTAACAGTATAAGGCTGTCCTCTTGTGGCCAAAATGATAAACAGCAATACATAAAACCAAAAAGTGGTTTGCTACACTATAGGTTGCATTTATCAATGATACTCCTGAGGTTAACAGCTATGTTTACTTTGATCTGCACCCAGCTGTATCCCAAAGCTGCTATATTCAAAAAATCTCAAGTAGATAATAGATTTTCTCTCTGAGCTTGAATCTATCCAAAGGCAGCATCTGCTTTTTCTAGAGTCAGTTCCAAGCATATTTGGGTCAGAATTATCAGTGTGAGTGACCTTGGACCTACAGTGTTTGGTCAGTGACCTTGTGGCGATCCCCTCTCTCTTTGCTGCTCCGTATCTCGCCCTGTCAGTGAAGCGGGCTCAGCCTTGGCAGCAGCCGCACGTAAGAAACCGTTTTAGCCAGAACACCGTCTGCACTCTCTCTGCTGCCAGCTCCTCTCTGCCAGACCCTGCCACATCCAAAACAAGCCGGCAGATGTTTCTTCTTCAGTGGAACCTTCGTCTCATTAAGCTGCTGTTGCCGATGCAGGAGAGGAGTCCACTCAGGGTTCCTCTCAGTCTGATTAGCCACGTCTCTCCAAGGATTGCAGAATTGTAATTACCAGCTTTTCCATCACTTTAAAATTGAAAATAGCTTTGATGAGATAACTTGTTGTCCCTAAAAGAAATAAGGATGTGAATGGCCTTCTTCAGTCTTGTACTTGGGCTCCATCTGGGGATTGTGGTCTCTACTGGCTGCTTCTTGGCTGTAAAAAATCCATATTTTCTGATAGCTGTCTGTTGTGTAAAGGTTACAGTTACAGGATAAAAAAGACATACTATAAAAAAAAATCACTCAAGCTGGTCATATTTTCATTTCCAGAGGCAACAGCAAAGACTAAAAAGGAAATTACTCCACATGCAGTACATCCATGTGTTTTTCTGATAATTTCTCCCCACAGTCATGACCATGAATCAATCTTCCTCCTGCAGCACTTAGATAATTGATTAAGCATTTTCACAGTAAACGTATGGATCCATACCATGCTCTGTTCACATCTATATTTGATGGTGTTTTCTGAGGTTTAGCAGGCCATGATCATGAATGAATCTATAGGGCTACAGCAACAACCTGAGGACCATAATTTTAAGAGCCTGTTGTGTGAAAGAAAACCAAACCAAGGTGAAACGGTTTACTCTTCTTACAGCTGATTTAAGTCACAATTTATTTTGAGCTGCCTGCAAAATTTGATCTTCAGTAGTCTTCACTTTTCATGGTGCTTCAAACAAAAGCCCAGAGTTTAAAGGTGAAATAGGATATGATAGAGATGTTTTATTTATGTATTTATTTATTTTTCTTCAAAAATAATCCAAGAATTACACATTACCTGCTCTGAGATAATGAGATAACCTAACAGTGGGGACTGAGAGCTTTGGTAAAGTGGAGTTAACCTGTTGCTTCGTTGTAATAGATGTTGATCCGCTACAGCAGCAGATCGCTGTCTCCATGGTATGTCCCACTCGGGTCGATGCCATGTTCATCACTTATCACCTCCCAGAACTGAAGCTGACAATAAAGACACTCAGTTAATGACAAAAGTAAATTGAGATGCTCGAAATGTATTTTTAATTGATACATATATATATATATATATATATATATATATATATATATATATATATAGTGTTCTCATCAGAGCGTAAGAGCCACAGACTAAACACTGAGCTAAACTCCACTCAAAAGAAGGGATGAGCCGCCTGTAATTTAAGATTTTTACTGATGACTCCTTCACATTGACATGGAGTGAAAACTGTAATAAAATTAATAAAATACATAAACAATCTTGAATCATTCTTTTACATAATACTGTATATATACAAAAGCCATGAACTAACTCTCCTCTTGTAAATAGTTAACCTTCAAAAAATATTTTTAATCTTAACTTATTATTCATTTTTTTAACCAAATAGTCCTTAATATATTAACTTAAAAATGTACTTAATCAAATGAAATAACTTACGACATTGATTTCAGTCCTTTTCTCTGGATGTGGCTGGATGAATGAGGTTATCTGCCATGTGGCTTCTTTGAATTTCCTGATCTTTCTAACAGGATATTATGTCGCTATCTAACTCAAGAAATTCCCTTCAAAATAAAAGTCTTAACATAATAAAAGTCACTTTAACTGTTAATACAAATTAAATGCATGTCTTGAAGACATCACAATATATATAAAGTAACTTTTTTATGAGTATATTGGCATACACTATAGGAGAAAATAAGTATTAAATATTTTAGTTTTTGTTGTGTTTACACCACTTGACATTTATAAGGGAAATCCATCTTTCATTATGTAAAAATGGTTCAAAAGCTATTTGAAATTATGTGAAACCAACAGAGATACAAAATATGCATCTTTGCAAATCTGATGCAAACTTCTAAAACAATGTATTAAAGTATTTTTGAATTACTCATCATGCAAACCCTTATTTGTCACTGACCTCTCTGCATTCTGGTTTCACATGCAAAGAGCTGAAAAGTTTTGTAAAGTTTTAGGAGTTTTGTGCATGTGAAAATACTGCTGTTATGGCAAATTCTGCTCTGCTTTGAGGATGATTTATACTCCCCATGAACCACTTCAACTTCATGCGGGTACAAATTTACGACAACTGTGGCTGTTCCATTACATGGGTTTCACCAGAGCCCCCTTAACCATGTAACATACACTGTATATGCTTTTAATGAGGTGGATTGATGACCTTCAGGCAGAGTTACTGTACACATAAAACAGCCCTCCTCCATCAGAGCTGAAGCCTTTGTAAATTCAGCAATTTTCAACATGGGGGAATATTCAACCACTACCTTTTCACTGTCAGGAGAAAGCTCTCCATGCTTCACAGGGAAACACTCCAGGCCTCCCCGTGACAGAAAGTTTTTAATAAAGGCACTGAGGAGATTTCAAGGCTCTGGGAGTGAAATCACCACCATGACAAGATAGAGAAATCCTGCTACAAAAGTGCTAAATTATGTACATGCTCTGGATTCTGTGCAGCACATCTGTGACAGATTCACTCGTGAAGGTACAAGCCCCTGTGGGCGTGGCTTTAGTGGAGGAGAACGGGAAGCTACAGGAATGGTCAAGCTGTACTGAACATCCACTGAGGAAGAAAACTGCCTTTGACCAGCTATTAGTGTGCAGATATATTGTCCAGGCAGGGCGAGGGTTTGTGGGGGACACTGGGTGATGTGTGAGGGGATGGGAAGATGTTTAACCCTTGAAGGATCTGTTCTCCCCCCCTGCCATTACAAAAACTGGCAGTATACATCATGTTGTTGCTCAGGGCCCTTTAGGGAATCCAGGCTGCAGAAGAACTGGCTCCTGGCCTGATTTATTTTTTTTCTCTTTGGGTGTGTGGATGTATGGCCAGGGGCTGATTTCTTGTCACACTGTGTGCTTGTCTTTTTAGTCTTGTAGCTACATAAAAGACATATGGCAGCACTCAATCCACCTACCTCAGACCCCACCTACACACACACACACACACACACACATCAGTTGCTGCACTCTCTGCCTGCCAGCCCTCGCATCGCCACACTGCTTCCCCCACATGCACACACTAGGATTAACCAAAAACATCTTCTGCCCTGAAGGCCTGAAGTCACCAGAGAGGAACTGTAAGCTCAGTCCCAATTTACTCGACTATTTTTTCCCACAGCTGCCACATACTGCCTACAGTAAATGACTAAGGGAGGTGCTGAGGAGAGGACATGAGAAAATTTACTCCCTGCTCTCATTCTCTGCTTCGTTTTTCCACACCTGACCCGCTGAATTTTGTTTCTCCACACGACATGCATCACTCTCTCTTTTACAGTCTCCAGGTGTCTCTGTCGGTGCAGAGTCTTTGCCTAGTTACAACACTAAATAAATACCCAGGGCTTGTTGAACTGTTTGCAGAGCACAGCTGCAGGTGGTGGGAGTCACAGGGGGGCTGCAGAGATGGATGGATGAACAGGAGCCAGACAGGCATCTGTGAGCTCGGGAGGCAACCACAGCTTTTTATTGTTTTTCTTTAGCAAACCTGCTGTTTGAAAGTATGAGGGATTAGAGCAGTGTGACCAGTGCGGGAACATCTATTATTTATCTCATATTTGAGTCTTTGCTTTTCATTTTGAAGAGACAAATGGAACTTAAAACAAAAAACAATGATTTGCAAATTCTTTGTGACCTTTATTCAGATAAGTACACACAGACAAGGTATTTGTTGATGAACTTTATTTTTTATACTGTATATATATTCACTTGTATTGAATTTAATGCTGCAACATCTTCCCTGAGCTCCATCAATCAATCAATCAATCAATCAGTCTTTATTTATATAGCACTTTTCATACATAACGTGTTCAAAGTGCTTCACACAGAAAAAAGGAATAAAAGAAACAAAGAATACCCAAATTTACCCCAATTTGGGTCATGGCTCATAAGGTAAAAGAAGATCAGATAGATAAGAAGGGCCAAAGCCATTAAGAGCTTTAAAAACCAATAAAGCAACCTTAAAATCTGTTCTAAAAGAGACGGGTAGCCAATGCAGAGAACTTAAAATCGGTGTAATGTGATCTCTCTTTGTGGTCCTTGTTAACATCCGTGCAGCTGAATTTTGAAATAATTGCAGGTGTGAATGTTCTTTTTGGGGGGACCAGAAAGGAGGGCATTACAATAATCTATTCTACAAGTGATAAAAGCATGAATTGGACCTGAGGTCATTTACAATTTTAACTAGAGCAGTCTCTGAGCTGTGATTTTTCCTAAAACCTGATTGATAAATTTCATAAATGTTATTTGATTGATAAAATCATTTAACTGGTTTAAAACTATCTTTTCCAAAATTTTACTTAAAAATGGCAAATTGGATACAGGTCTATAGTTACCAAGTATTGATGCATCCAATTTGCTTCGCAGAGGGGAATACACCTGTCTGAAGAGAGTAATTTAAAATGGTTGGAAAATCGTGCTTGAAAAAGTCATAAAAGCTTTTGAAAAGGGATGCTGGGATAGGGTCTAAAAGACAGGTAGTTGTTTTGAGTTTTTTAAAAGCTTTTTCAGGCATCTTGGCATCAACCAGGGCAAAACTCTCCAGTGTTTCCCCATTTAAAAGCAAAGGTTCTGAGGGATAAAAACTAAAACGCTGAGAAAGTAAAAGGTTTGATCTGAAAAAACTTATTTTACTGCTGAAGTGGACTGCAAGGTCGTCACATGACAGGTTCGAAATATAAGGTTAGTTAAAAACAGGGTTGATTAAAGGGTCTATAGTTGAAAAAAGTTTCTGTGGGTTATTTTGATTTTCATTTATTAATTTTGAAAAGTGGTCTCTTCTGGCCTGTTTGGTTGCATTATTGTAGAAGTGCAGTTTTTCTCTGAAAATCTCATTCCTTAAACTTTTCCTCTCGCCACCCCCGTTCTGCTTTCCTGCAGTTTCTTTTCAGATTGGTTATAAATGTATTTTTCCAGGGAGGCTTTGGTTTTGTTGATAACTTCTTGGTTTTCATTGGTTTTCATTGGTGCCACAGTGTCCAGTGTTGATTTAAGTTTACTGTTAAAATTTTCAACAATAAAATCCCAAGAGGAAGGTAAAACATATGGGGGGATATCAGTGAAGATATCAATAAAATCTGCAGCCACTTCAGCAGTAAGATAACGCTTCCTGATGCACTGGAATTTCCTGCTGTTTAAAATCCTTTACATTAAAAGACACAGAAGTGGTCAGACAATCCCACATCCACAACAGAGGTCACAGAAGCTGATAGGCCATAGGTTATTACTAGATCTAAAATGTGACCTCTGTTGTGGGTGAGCTGTGTTACATGTTGCACAAAATTCATGCAATTAAGAAGGTTTAAAAATTCTGTGCTAAAAGAGTCTGATTGATTGTCAACATGCAGATTAAAATCACCTGAAATAATAACTCTTTCAAACCTTGCTTGGATAGATGCGAGCAGCTCTGAAAATTCTGTGATAAAATTTGTGCAACACTTAGGTGGTCTATATATAGTTAGACAAAGTATTGGGGGACTGTTAAAAACAAAGGAGTGGTGTTCAAATGATAAAAAATCATCAAATAAAACATTTTTTTAACCATGCTGTGCTAAAAGAATTGTAGCTGTCCCCCCACCTCTTTTACCCTGTCTAAAAGAATATAAAAATTCATAATTTGGTTGGTTCCGGGGTGGTCTGTGGTTCCGAGAAGCACCTTTTACCAGCAGCAGAGGGTCCAGTTGTCACAGGGTTGGTGTTACCCCCGGAGCTCCTCTGCGCGACAGCCTCCTTCAGCAGCTTGCGGCGGACGGAGGATGGTTTTGCCGCTAGCTGCTGTTGGGCATTCTCGCCCAGAGGAGGGAAATCCAACTTGCTCAGGACATCAAACCTGTTGGTCAGTGAGATGGTCGGAGGTGATGAGAAGGTTGAAGGAGGTACTGCATGGTGTTTATCCCTGCACGCAACGGACCAGAGCTCCGGCTGACAGTGAGTGGAGCTCACCGGAACCTCCACTCCAATGACAATAAATAAATAAATTAATAAAAATAAAATGATTAAGAACACTAAAACGGGGTGTTGTAGCCTGAGAGGTGACCACAAACGCCAGCCCGCAACAGGCCGCTAGACCTCCACATTGAGAAGTCATAGGTTCCTCTGCAGATGTTTTGCGGTCATGAACCTGCCTGCTTCTCAGGCTGCTACAAAAACATGCATACGCCTCACCTCTGTCCATCTTTCTCTTTCTCCATGTCTCTCTCTCTCTCTCTCTCCACTTTAAACCCAGCTTACTCTCACCAGATGACTGTCTAGTTGTGTTGAATCTTTGGCTTCTTTAAACTTAGCTTTAAGGCTCTTTACTTTTAAAGACCTTGCTGTCCTTCCACTGACTTGCTCCATCGTTGCTATCCTTTATTTTTGCAAGGCTGCTGCAACACAGAATGTCACTCTTAATAGTGAGAATAGAATTCTGATTTGAAAAAGTCAGAGTTAGACCAGATTGGAGAGTTCACACTGCTTCTAAAACTCTGACCTGGTCACTTGACCCAAACAATCAGATTT